GCTGGGGGAGGGTTGAGGATGTACCTCAATACAAATATTTACAGAAAGAGACAAAAGACAAAATCTGAGACATTTAGACAGAATCTAAATCTAAAACTCATCATTAAAAGAGCTTTAAACGGTCACTTTTAAATAGTCATTTCCTCTTCAATAGTCACAGCGACACGCGGCTAAAATATGGAATGTTCACTTCAGGTACTCAGGATGGCGCTGTGGAGACGGTGGGTATTTGGGCAGTTTGTTTTACTTTAAACGGACTCCAGGTGTCAGTGTTTCTGCGAACGGTTGTTGTTTCTATACGTGGCTCTGGACGAGTGGACTGTCCTCGGTGTAGTGGTGCCCCTCCCATGTCTAGGGACTGCTGCCCCCCCACAACTCTGAAGAGGATTAAGAAGTGAATGAATGGATGGATGGATGAATGGATGGATGGATGAATGGATGGATGCACAACGTTAAGGATGAATGATGGATAGATGAATGGACAAATAGATGGATGGATGACAGATTGATGTACAGATGGATGGATGGATGGATGGAAGGATGGACAGATTGATAGACAGATGGATGGATGGATGAATGGATGGATGGAAGGATGGACAGATGGATGGATGGATGGATGGAAGGATGGTCAGATTGATAGACAGATGGATGGATGGATGAATGGATGGATGCACAACGTTAAGGATGAATGATGGGTAGATGAATGGACAAATAGATGGATGGATGACAGATTGATGTACAGATGGATGGATGGATGGATGGATAGATGGATGGACAGATGGATGAATGGATGGATGGAAGGATGGACAGATGGATGGATGGATGGATGGATAGATGGATGGACAGATGGATGAATGGATGGATGGAAGGATGGACAGATGGATGGATGGATGGATGGATGGAAGGATGGACAGATTGATAGACAGATGGATGGATGGATGAATGGATGGCTGGAAGGATGGACAGATGGATGGATGGATGGATGGATAGATGGATGGACAGATGGATGAATGGATGGATGGACAGATGGATGATAAGCACAAATGCCATGTCCAACTAGAAAAATGCTTTTGACACTAAACAAAACCAATTCATAAAATGTATTTCCATGTCATAATACAACGCCCAAAACTTTAACTGAATTAGAATGAAATCACTTCACTTTTATTATCTTTTTCTCCCCCTACGGTAAACGCCCTGTTTGTAGCTATGATAAAAATCGTTAATTTCCTCCATCAGACTTGACAGTCGGGGGAAACGCCCACAGCTGCTCTGCTAAATGTAGGCTTTACAAAAAAAAAACCCATCTTGTTTCCATGTGTCCTACTGTTGAAACGCTGCTCACACATCACTGATGGATGTTGTTGTCAAATCTACCAAACATGATGATAATTAATATTCAGATGCATGTTGTGGAGATGTTTACGAGATGGAGACCACAGCGCGGACGTGGGCGTGAACCAAATCGGTTCTAGACAAACTAGAGAAATATCTGGCTCATTAAAAATCTTATAAAGGTATAGAGGAGCTTGGTTAGTCCTACGGGAATATAAACAAAAACAACAGCAGGGGTCACCACCTCCTAGTGGGTCTCTTGAGGACAGGTGGCATCTCCTGGGTTAGTTCCCAGTGGAGGACACTGGGACCGTAGGGAGGGGACAGGGACGGGAGACGGTAGTATTTTTAGGTGTAGCCAGAGTCAGTTCTCACTTGGATCACCTTTCTCAGAAAATCCTCCTTGGATTCCGATCTTATTTTAAAGATTCCGTCAACTTGTCTGCACGAGTTCAAGGTCAGGAATTCTTTAATCCTGACAAACGGCTTTGAGAATATTTTTAAAAATATAATTGGAACCCAAAAATGTTTTTATAAAAATCTTTTATCAACCGAGTGTCATCCTGAATCTCAAACAAATACGCACTTTTTTTTTATAGTACTACATAAAAATTCTACTTTTGATGTCATCTATCAAACAAACAAAAAAAAAAATCACAAGATTGGACACTTATTTTACGGTACTTAAGGTAAAAATAACCCCATGAAATGTTGTCTACTTACACAGAGTGCTGCTGAAATGCTGCGGCCAACAAGAGTAAAGTGACTGAAACAACGGAAAAAAAAAAAAAAATACAACGCCCCGAGATATTCATAAGACAAGACAGACGACAAAAGACAACGGACAAAGTTTAGTGACAACAGACTGAGCACAGAGACAGGATGACATAACAAACTCTATGACTATGGATCAAAGGATTCATGGTCACATGAACAACAGGTTCACTTCTTCCTCAAATGTGACATACCCAGTATCGATCAACAGGAGGCGGCGAAACACTCGACTGAGAGTTTCAAAAATAAAACAAGAAAACTAGAGTAATCCTTTCTAGACAAAAATGTCCAGAAGTAGTCGGGAAGAAAAAGTTTAATAAGTATAATTTCTAGAAGTTTCTACAGGACAATAAACGTGTTCTTGATATGATGGTGACAAATTACAAAACTGTCGTCCATTTACTTTGGTATCGCCGGTGTCTGCTGTCCCACAACCACGTCTAAGAGCAGGACAATAATCTACTGAGGTGTACGCAATAGTGTGTCTCCGTTTGCCTGAAAAAGGAATGTGTGTGTGTCAATGTGACTCACAGTTTTAGGTCAAGGAAGAGAGCAAGGATGTCAAAGGCCAACTCTCTCACACCCACACATGTTTTTGTGTTATGAGGACCCATCACAATTCCCCAACCCTAGCAAATACAAATATATGCAAATCTTAATTCTTACCCAATCTGAGCCTAATTCTAATCCTAACTCTTGAAAGTCAGTTGACTTCAAAAAAAAAAAAAAAAAAAGTCCCCACAACGACAGTTGTCCCTATATTTACAGTGTCAATCCAGAAACATGTCCCCGCCAGTACAGCTGTACAGGAACACACACACACACATTTCATCATCATGAGGAACGCTGTGCTTTTTAAAGGGTGACTTGACACATCATCTTTGCCCTAGTGGCAGCAGGAAGTGAGGCACGTGAGTGAAAACATCTGCCCCGCAGCACAGACATGCACGTGCGGCTCTCGCAAACTTTTTTTTTTTACAGATCTTGCAGATTTAACAGAGTAACAAACCAGTAAAGTAAAGTAAAGTAAACTCGGGCCAGGGACCGTCTTCCCCGGCAGACACCGCTGACATTTGACCTGCACATTTTTAACACTAGCCAATGAGAGTTGCATCGCGAGAACTGACAAAACACAAAACTGTTCCGTTTATTTCAACTGTTAAGAGTTAAGTTAAGCATTTAACTAGTCTCTAACTGATCTTTTCTAAATCTTCTGAACAGATTATTCAGATTCTGCAGCGTCTACTTCAGCTGGTGGACGTCTCAGTGTCAGATCAGCTGCTCTCATTGGTCGGCTGCAGGCTGTATCTACAGCTAGTTTTTTGTTTACGGGAAGTAGGATAGAGAAGCCGAGTGGTTAACCCAACAGAATTATAAAATTAGGTACTGCATACAGCATTGTTTCCCAAAAACTGGGTCGCGGCCCCTTAGGTGGGTCGCAAGAGATTTTTTTTTTTTTTTTTGTGTCGTCTCGCATCATGTTTCCCAGGAGTTCACGGTCATTGGAACAGATGTCTGCATCCAACCTCAAAATTTTTTGTTTAAAAAGCTACCCCCTGTGGTTAAGTTTAAAACTTAAGAAATACTAATTGTTCCGATATCAGTCGGTCAACAATAAAATATCCTCATTACTGTTCAATAATGGTCAAGTACGCCCTTATTTTGCGTTTTACGAATAAATGTCTATTGACATGGGTCGCCAAGGTTTGTGACTTTTGAAATTATGGGTCCCCAGAAAAAACAGTTTGGGAAACACTAGCTTATAGTATATTACAGGTAGGGTTAACAAAGGGCATTAAATCAGTTTTTTTTTTGCACCGGTATTTGTCCGGTATTCAGCGATTACTGGAGTATTACCGGTACACTGCGCCATTATTGAAGGATCATTAAATCTTCAAAATAAAACATCTTTCAGACTTTCTTCTCTCAGAGTCTGAAATGACCTTTGACCGGTTGTTTTAAAACATTGACAGATTATTATTTGAATGAAAACAGTAAAAGGATATGACTGTTGGAATGAAGTAAATTAGTGAAACTGATGTACCTTTTTTTTTTTTTTTAAACTGTGTCCAACTGCGGCTACTTTACCCAAAGACCTACGGACCAGCATCAGCCCCCGAACCAGGGGTTGGGGATCCTATGCCTTAAATGATATATATAGCATATGACAAGGGAGACCCAGTTGTGTTGCTTTTGCCCCAGTTTAACCCACTTTCCAACAGCCCTTATAGTGTACTTCCACATATGGGCCAATAGGGGACGTCGGGTCAGGTTGTGCATCTTACAGATAGAGGTCCATATGGGACAGATCTTTGTATAATAAAGCAGTCCAGGTGGAAACAGTAAAGTGGACTTTACTTTATCGGACTGAGGTTTTCTTTGGCCAGAACCCAGTGAGACTCCTCTTTAAAAAAAAGTTTGTTTTCCTTTTCTTGCGTTAACAGGAAATACTTTTATTTCTAACTCGTATATTCTATGTCAACATCATTTTAACTTTAACAACGTTGAAAACATTGAATTGCTGTAGGACTGCGAGTAGTATACTACGAGGAAGTATCAGAGTCACGTTGAGAAAAAAAAGAAGTCATAATTGTATGAGGAGAAAAGCGAAAAACAATGGGATGAAAGAACACGTTTACATTTACGAATAAAAAGTTGTAATTTCACGCGAAAAAAAGTTGTACTTCGAAGACAATAAATCCATAAATTTACGAGTCTTAAAAATTCTGATGACGTGTTTTGGAGGAGGTGACAAAGGAAAAACAGACAGCAGTAACCATAAGTGCGTCAGAACGAGACACGTGATACAGTTATACATTAGCATCGGGTTCAACTTCTGGTTCATCAACCTCACATCGTAATTAGCATCAGGACATCGAAAAGGTTCGTCTTTACCGAAGAACGATCCACGACTTTTTCCCTCACATAATAACAACTATTTTCTAGCAAAATTGCGATGTTATTTTTTTTATATAACTTTACGACATTTTTTTCTATAACATTTCGACTCTTTTCTTCTTATTTTATTATCACTTATTCTCCGTCGTCAGTACGTAGCACCTCTGGATCGCAGCCTCTAACAGAGAAGTGATCAGAGCATCAGCCTGGTGTCAACGGCTGCGCAAATACCTCCGTCATCTCATCAGATGTGAGTGGAGCCCCACCCAGCCCCAGGCCTGTGTCTTCAGGGCTGATGGCCAACACACACACACACACACACACACACACACAGGTTTCTCACTGTACAGGCAAAGTTCCCAAATAAGACGAGTGTCGTCAGGCGCTGCTGTAAAACAATCACCTGTTGATTAGATTACAGGAACCATCGTCAGTGTTTGGCGCTGTGATGTCACCAGTGACTGCGAGTGCGAGTCTCTGACAAGGACAGTAGAGGG